CTTTCTGTATATATATATATACACAGTAGAAGTATATACGTACTGCAGGCATGCAGACCTTGGATATGTTTGTATGTGTAAAGTATAGACATACAGACACATACGTACACACCATATGACATGATGCCAAGCATGTGTGCGCAGGTGTGTTTTTGCAACGTGCTTGCCAGCGTGCGAATGTGGATCTGTGTGCTTGCATAGAGCGAGCATGACAGAGCTGCAGTAGAGAGGCAGAGCGAGCGCAAGAGAGACAGAGAGGGATGCGAGCTACACAAGCCGACACTGCACAACACGGAAACAGAAAGGCAGAGGTCTGGTCTACTATGAAGGAGTGTGTTGGTGGAGTGGCTGCCAGATGTTCGGATCCATGTTGACATTCGACACCAACAGCCAGACTACATTAACAAATCATCCAATGAACAGAAGGATGATCCGGTCAGAGGCCTTCTCCTTTTCGCCGGCACCATCGGCTGCCATCTGGGCCTGCCCGGAAGGCGAGCCACGCCATAGATGGCGATGTGAGTGATATCTATCGCAGAACCTGCTTCTCCATCAGGTCCTTCAGGTCTCTCAGCTCCTGCTGCCGCTCCTGATGGACAGTATAGGAACCAGAATGCCTCACTGTCACTGAGATCGACTCAAAGCGTCGGCCTGGAAGTATCGAACACCTCAGAAACAGTTGCGGCGTGACCGGCATCTCATCTTCTGGTCTCTGTGCCCACAGGCGCCCTGTATCACAGCACTATCAGCTTTGCCAACAAGCTGTTCACTGCAGCTGCATGCAGTGCAATGATTGCTGCTGGCAGGCCAGGTGTCCACAATCAAGCACTGGGGCCCCCTGCGCTTCTCCTCTCTGTCGAGGAAGCGCCTCATCCATGCACGACCCAGGGCATAATGACAAAAGCGGCAGCATTGCCACTGCACGTCTAATTGATTAGCACCAGGCCCTTACTGACAGCAAACCCTTCCAAGCACGCTTGATTGACTCGTGAGCCGGGCTGTGGATGGGTGAGTACCGTACCGGTCATTTCACCCCGGCGCCTCATGTTTTCCTTCTCTCGGCCGCCAGGCTTTATCAAGTTCCTGAGAAGCACACACTTCGGGAAACTATTCCCGATGGAAGTGTGCCACAGACACTTCAACAGGCCACGGAGCTTTGGGATGTTCTGGATGTGGAGATGGCCTTGCGCATCGCCGACAGCCAGCTTCTGCCCCTCCTTGATGTCACCTGCTAGCCCGAGGATGCCCGAGGAACATCTTCAGCTCGGCTGATGCAGCAGCTTTGGGAGACGCTCTGGGGTCGCGTCCGTGGTAGCAGAACATCATGGACGTGATCGCCACAGATGCCCCAGTGTCGGACAGCGACGCCTGCATTCAGGTGCAGCGTGCATGCCTGGCATCACTGCCGTCAGTGTTCGTGTCCGCACACAGTGACCCATGAGACACATGCTTCAGCTCTCTGCAGCCCTCCACTCCAACCTTGTGAGACTGATCACTGAAGTCCCAGATGTCAATCCTGAGGTTCACCAAAAGCGACACGGTTTGAGAGATGGTGCAACCATGGATGGTGATGGATGGTGTACATCTCCGGAGGCTGAGGTCAGGAACCCTCCACTGACAAGGCCAAGGAAAACTACCGAGGGCCGTGTGGGGCTCCAGACACCTTGGCAGGCGAAATGAGCGATGGCGGCAGAAGTGTTTCCTGCTGAAGCTGCTCATGTTTAAATCGCTCACGGCATCCGATGCTGAGGACAACACCGCGAGTGTAATACGTCGAGGTGTAAGAGGACATAAACAAGTGCTCACTGAGCCCGTCCTGAAAGAACGGCATCGCACATCCATCACCCAACCTCTTCGGTCAAGCATTTCTGTGTGATGCGGCAGAACCTGGCATTTTACTATCAAACGTGCAGCTTGCTGGCCTTGAAGAGGAAGAAGGCCCAATCCTTCCGGAAAGCAATAAAGCAACCGCCACGAAGCTAGCTGCTAGATGCTGCTAGCTTTCCATGTCCGTGAATTGTGACCCGCTTTCTTGCTGGGTTCTGCACGGTAACCCCTAGCAGGATGTCTTCGAAGAAAGGTGATCGCCTAGGTTGCCACACACGAAGCCAACTGCCTGATACGAAGACACTGCACATGCTGAGAAGAACCTAGGAGATGCTCGGAGTCAAATCTACGCCGCGAAAGAGCCCTGAGACGACTTTGCACATGATCTCCAAGTGTGGAGGCGGCCCGAAGATAGAAGGTCCCGAAGCTGGGAGACCGGCTCCAGCGACAGCATAGGCCGGAAGGTCTTGCAAGTGCTGTACATCCTAGGCGAAGCTGCGGTCGCATCTCGACCGTGCAGAAGCATGGGCAAAAGTGATACAGATACTCGTAACATCGCTTCTGCGAGCCATCGTGGAATTCGAGCTAAGGCCTGTGCTTCTTCACGACATCTGCTTTCCGATCCTGCCAGCTCAACGACCCTCTGTTGTTCTGCACTCTGTTGCCGTGGCTTCATCACGAACCCTTCCCAAAAGCTTGGAGAGCAAAGCACTGCCAGTGCACTGCCACAAAAGCTGCACCCGCAGCCTCTTCGCCCCGAGCGGCCCAATCCCCGAGAATCAGCTCCTTGGTTTTGAGCAAAAATGGCAGTGCCCGGGCGCCCTCCCTGGTCCAATCCGTGGGTCGCTTTCCGAAGGCTGCAGACAAGCTTCGCCCTCTTCCGTGCTGGCGTAGAAGTTCGTCAGCAGCTGACAGGATCCATGACAGCTCGCTGCTGCAACACCTACCCTCAACTGACGGACCAGAAATGACCAGAATGGATGCACGCTTCAAATCTGGATCTGGCACCTTGTTGCCCTTGTCGTCGAACCGATCATGGCCTCGGAGCACATGTCGCCGAGCGTCACTGGCAATCGCGCGATGGAACCAGGCTGCAAGAAACTGAATTGACCTGGACTGCAATCGTTGAGCCGTCTCGGGGATCTGGGGCTGCCAGCAGTGCAGGATGTGGCAAAGACCCATCTCAGTGCCGCTGTCCTGCATCCATGGAGGCATAGGCATCTAACTCGACAAACCCAAGACTTGGGTTCTCCTGCCGCTGTAGCTGTACGCGGTGGACAGGCCGCCAAAGGAAGTCGTTGTCATTGATGGCATCAAGCATTGCCTGGCATTTCCTAGAGATGGGCACTTCAAACAGCCGACGGCAGTCCAGTAGACCATGCACCTGGAAGTCCCAGATCATGACCTGCAAAGGCGGAACTCCTAGGATGGCCGCACGTAACTAGGAAACCGACGCGACGGCCACAGTCCATGGTCGGCACAGCGAATCCCGCCTGGCCATCCCCTGCGACGGTCAAGAAATACCTGACACAAACAAATGCCGGGACCAAGATATGTATTGGGCTTTCAGGGTGCTCCCAAACATGAAGGCTGTGGATGCGCACTTGATCGGTGCATCTGCTGGGTTTTTCTCACTGGCTCCCTTGCCGCGGCGCTCCACCTGAAAATCATAGCGACTGCGACGGGAGGAGGCCTGTGTCGGCGAATACCTATATAGGGAAACTAGCTGTCGACAGGCGTCTTGTTGAGGAAAAGCCGAAGCAAGAAAGTGCATGGAATCGTGCTGAATATGGTGGTCTTTCACCTGTTGAGACGATTCTCACAAGTGAATAAAACGACTTGGTGCAGAAGGAGCAAATTTGACAAGTCATCGATCTTGCGAATACAATGATGCTAGGCCTTCTCGGCTGCTAGTTGCCCTCCCTGTAGCATCCACGGACAAACGGGGCGGATCCGTTTGGGGGGAAGTCTTCAAAAGGATGATTCTACTATTCAGAGTCTATGGCCTGTGCACATTGTTTTTGGAAACTCCTTGACAGGGCGAGTTGCCACAAGCCATGTCTGCATCATAGAAAAAGGGACAGTGGACCCTCGAAGTGCATCGCCTCTATCGTCGCCGGCATGAATTCGATGGCGACCACCGCTTTTCGGTGCGACTCATCGATCATTGACATCTGGCGGTGGGTAACCTGGGCTGAACACGGCTGATCTGAGCGGTTCCGAGATCACAGCACAATTACGCATTGCATCGTGCTCACACATCGCGCTGGGTTCGCTACTGTCGGGATGGTGGAGTTCTTCTCCTCCTGAGCAGGTCTTAATGCTCCGATGTTGCGAGCCAGTCAAACGCATAAGTTACCTCGCCATTCCCTTGCACCAAGCGCAGAGAGATGGGAGCTAACAAGTCGAAGGTGGCATGCGTCCCACCCACAGCCCGGGTCAAGAGCGATCGCGCAGAGACCACCAGCAATTTAGGAGGACCTGTAAACTTGTAAACCAAAGCCTGCGCTTGAATTCTTTCGTTGCGGACGGCAGTGGCTCATGTCCAGGTAGAATTCTGGCTCGCAGGGCTGCAATGCACCAAACAGGATCATTTTGGATAGGAGTTCCATTAAGAAAAGGTAGGCCACACTAAACATTTTGCACCTGTGGTCCACAAGCTTGAATCACAGCACACCGCCCATTGCAAGCGTCGCGTGCGCCGGCCTCCAGGCTTCCCCCACGCGCAGCATGGTTCGTCGTCTTTGCGGCCGCAAAACCTTGCAAGCGCGCCAACTTCAAAAAGGCCGTGTCATGGCTTCAAGCAGGCGTGGTGTTCTGACCACATGTCTTCGCTTAGGTGATGCGCTGGAAACTAGAAATTGCAGCATTGGGCGACAGTCATGAATTTCTCCGGGATCACAAGGCATTGGAAAACAACGTGTTTGATCGATGCATGTGAGAGTGTAATTAGCAAGGCACACCCTCTTCCCTCCGCAAGCCTAGGTCGGTGGTGGATAGTTTCCAGACCTGTAGCGTGCAGACTCAGGGCGATCTTTATCGACAAATCTCGAATCCAAACACGAGCCCGCTTCATGAACTCCACCGCCCGACTCTGAGCCATGCACTGCTATTTGTCCATTCCCAAGTCCTTATGTAAGGACTCCACAATCTGAGCAGCTGCGTGCAAGAGCTGAACACTACTAGCCGTCGGAACTGCATGTGCGCATGCATGTCAAGAATCCGGCAGCGCTCCAGACAGAACATGTTAGCTGCTAGCTGAGGAGGCATCCACCAATGAGAAAGGTCGGGTCACTAGGATAAAATTTGAAGACCGTGACCTGCCAGCAGACCAGCTGGAGCCACAAGGAGTCTCAGGCAAGACGTTCAATCCGCACCTCCCATGGAGACTCCAGGATGGCATGTGGGCTCAGGGAATCCGCAAAGGACCAGACCAACACAGTACTCACCTCAGATCGAGTGCAAAAGCCGTCAGCGTCAAGCGGCTTGAGCTTCTTTGATTCTTGGTGAAATCTTTGGGCTAGTTCAAGGTTCAAGGTACTTTCAGGCTGAGGGTGTTTGGATGTCCTGGGTGCCGCAGGGGTGCGGGCTGCATAGGGTTCAGGGTACTCTTTGAGAGCCTCAATCGAAGGCTTCAGGGCAGCTTATGGACTTAAGGGGTCAAGATGCTTCTTAGGATCCAAGCCCTTTCGGGGTGGTGGTCTTTAGGGCTTGTTTTGGGTGCCAGGTGCTTTTCGTTTGACAAGACCTGGGTGTCCGCGAGCAGAGGCCTCTTAGGGGGTTTAGCTTTCAGGATGTTTGCGTCTAGGGGGGGTGAGGGTGTTGTTTGAAGGTTTGGGATTTGGGAATGGAAGGTGGTGTTTGGGGTCGCTTGTAGGGTTTGGGATGTTTCAAGGTCGTGGACAGGAAGCCAAGGAGAGGAAAACATCAGCGGCGAAGCAGTCAGGAAGCTCGGAGTTCAAAGCCAAGGAAGACGCAAGGACAGGAAGCCCCAAATCCGAAGCCAAAGAGCTACAGTAGTGAAAAAGAGCAAACACGCACAGAGAGACACGCAAGCGCGCAGACACACACACACACACAACATTCGGTTAGAAAACACACGATAAGTTCGATAAAATCGCACCCACAACTGTCAGTGCGATTCTTGGGGAAGCGGCAGAAGCCTTGCCCGAGTTCTCTAACCGGTCGACGAAAGCCAGGTTCCTGAGACCGCATGTCCGGACGGAGCCACACGCCGTGACCCGGGACAGAACCAGAAGAGCTGAGAGCTCGGCTCACAACAGGAGGAGACCACCATGTCGGAAGAGCCCGGGACCCACTCGACCCACTCCTGAGCCATGTTTGCTCAACATTCCGCTGGCTGTAGAATGCTGTAGAAGCGTCGTGGCTCTGACATGCTTGTTCCACTCAAAAGAGATATCGAAACAGGCGCAGAGCAACCAGCAGAAACAGCATCTTCCTGAGGCACTCACGATGCGCTTTCCTTTCGTGTAGGTCACATCGTGGAAGTTCGGGTGCTCCTAGAAGCGGCTACAACGGAGAGCATCCGCTGCAGAGCAGTCTTCCGCAGAACTTTCGACCTGGCCTTGAGCTTCGAGTGGGTCTTCGTGATCGCGCCAGCCTCTTCCTCCCCCAAATGCGAGAACCTTTTTCGCGAAGAGGCGCGAAGAAGAAGAGGCGACACAATCAATATCAATCAATCCGTGGGCGAGAACCGAGGCAGTGGCTCTTCTTGGAAGATGTCGACCGTCTCGTTTGTCTGAAGGGCCTCCTCGACTCCGACACCTGATCTGCTCCGAGGTTTCGTCGGGCCGGGGGCCGGACTAAACGAGTGCCCGGAAGTCCCAAGCAGCCGTTTCACTAACGCCAGCTAGAGCCAGCCGAATGATGACAACCTGTTTGAGGCGCCCACTGACGGTAGAGAGGAACATGGAAAGCTCATCCACCTGGCAACAGCGCTCACGGAATGGGCCCTTCTTTCCTGGACACCGTACACCAGTATGCACATCCTGCTGTTCGTCCGGCTCATCTCCACGAGACAGACATGTCCAGCATGCAGTCTGCTACCTTGTCATAGCCAAGATCTGCGCCCTTCTGCAAGAAGTCCCCCGGACTCAGCATATCAAGGTATCAAGGCATTGGAGGCAAAAGAACTTCAATTCTCTACGGCGCATCTGGTTGAACGGACCGTCCCACAACAATTCCTACTCTTCCATCCAGGATTCTGGCATGTACTGCGTGGACTTGTTGACGGGACGGAACCTGAAGCGACAAGCGCGCTGCCGCTGACTCTTGTGCCAACTGCGAGCATTGTGGGGGGCTCTGATGCACACTAAGGAGGACCTGCCAGGCGAACTTGCACCTAGGATCCTTGCCAAGTGGTCTGGCAGGAGCATGTTCGTGTCTCCTTTACAGCCTTTTGCAAGCAAGGCTTGCAAGATTTAGCCATCAAAAACCATCGCTTGGCGGAAGGAACGACATCTTGCCTGGATTCCCATCTCCAGCTCCTTTTTTGGAGGGGCGAAATTGTGATCCTGCAGCGCTTGATATGGCGCAACCACGCATCAACAGAACGACCCAGTTTCATGTGCAGGAAGAAACCGGGAATCAAAGTCAGCTGCAAGCGTCCTTCTGCGGTCTGCAATTCTGATTGTTCTCGCCTAGCAGGTCCACTGCACAAGGGCAAAACATGTTTAGCCAGGCCTAATGCTTCTCTCGCGTTCCTCAGGGGTACCAAAGATGGTTGTGCTTAGCAGGACAACCTGGATACCAAGTCGCCGTAACCGCCGTAGTTGAAAGACTGGGTTCGGATGCGGGTTGTGAGGCTGCTCGATACAGCCTGTTATGCAACCAATGGAAGGTGCAGACTTGGATTTGATCGTGTCCCACGCGAAGAAGAGTCCGCTACCGGCACCGTCACACTAATGAAGCTGAAAAGAGATGCAAGCAGATGCGCAGTCTGGGATTCGTGTTCGGAACACGCAGTACGGCGTGGTTTGGCTAGTTCAGAAAGAGCGCGGGCTCAAGACTTTGGAGCCATCGATGCTTCGAAACCTTTTGCAACGGATCAAAATTAAAACGCTTTTTGGGCCTGGCTGGATATCTCATAACGACAGGTGGTCTGCAGAGCAAGAAACCCTCATCAATCATCGATTTTTTGTATGTTCAGACACGGTGAACACTCAGAGGATCAAATTGCATAAGCGGATGGACTGATGTGTGTTTATGCATATATACATATAGTGTATAATGTAGCGTTCCTGTCTGGGGAAGGTATACTCTATAGGTATACAGAAGACAGAGGTTTAGATAGTTTGGTTGGTTCCGGGCGGTGCCCCAAACTATCTAAACTAGTTTAAACCGGTAAGGTTTAGATAGTTTGGATAGTTTGCGGGGGCCGGGCAGAAGGCCCAAACCATGAGTTTAGTGTGGCACATCAACACTTCCAGGCGCCGGTGCTTGCAAAATGGATTCTGCCCTGACATAGGAATGAAGTCTTGCAGGCAAAAATACCAGAAATTGTGGATCTGCGCCACAGTGTCACAGTCAGGGGCAAGCAAGCGCTTGCATCCCCTTCCATGCCAACACCAGCTGCCATCAGGTATCATCAGGTGCTCAACCTCCAAGCCACTGGGACATCAAGCTGCAACGGGTCTCAGACCTGAGTCGCTGAACTTCGTCGACTTCCCAAATTGGCTGCGAGGCCTCGTCAAGTCCAGAGTGGCAAAGCCACGTCTCCCGCAAAGAGCCTGCGGCCTGGTGATCATTATCTCCAGGAGTGGGCGGCTATTGTGGACGGTGAAGGTACGAACCTGCCAGCCATGGGCTAGTACCCTGATCCGTACCAAGAAAAACACGTCCTGCCATGTCAAAGTGTTGATGCTCCCTCCGGAGAGGCCTCGTCGTGCGTAGCCTCCGCCGTCTCGGACTTCCACTCTTTACACTCCTTGAAGCAGACCATTGGATGTCTGCCACAACACTACCGACGACTGACAACGAAGCCCATCCCTGAGCAAATCATGCGACACAGCGTCCTTGGGGAGATCACGAATGACGATGTTCTCTTCTGGCTCATCCTGCCAAAGTTTCCGCTCGCCATAGCCAGAGCACCCTAAGCAATCCAATCCTCTGGTGACAAACCCACAGTACCATGAGTTAGTAGATGCTAGTAGCTTCTGTAGTTTCAAAACAGCGGTGATGCTGGAAGCTCATGCAGAACTTCGATTACTGAGCAAATTACTCGGGCTGGACTGTCATGAATCAGAACTCGCGGCCTCAATTCCGCCTTCCTCCCCCTTCTGATTTTCCTTCTCGAACTCGTCCATCACGCCCTGGCGCCAACATCTGGGACAGACTTCGCTGGAACAAAGCACAGCTTTGACCTGGCGGAGCTCTGTGAGTCTTTCCATCTCGCGCTTGTAGGCTTCCTCTGTGGTGCACCTGCGAGGTTCCAATAGTGAGCCCACAAGCTTGTGTGGCTGAGGTGGCAACGCTGCTGTCAAGCGGCCACACCAGCTTTTCGCCGTACGCCTGAAGAGGACAGGAAACAAAATGAGAGATTGCAAAACTTGCGTTAGCAAGTTCAGATGTATCACAACATCCGCGCTGCTGTGGGAGGACCGGATTCTGTTGTTTGCGAGTCGCCCGCCTACTTCAGGCTAGCCCGGAGCGTACTCTCCCTCCCATCCGAGTGAGCCACAAATGCCGAATCATCCTGGGGCTTCGACTTTGGAAGGGTCGAAAAGCAGGAGGATATCCTCTAGCGGATACTTCTCGAAGTCCTCACAGCTGTGGATCCAGGCATTGCAGCTTGGGACAGCAGTCCAGACCCAGCCCCCTCGGCTGTAAAGGTACTTTTAAACCGTTTCTTGCATTCCTCGATGGGCTGTCCTTCTGATAGGGATGGTAATCCGATGCGAAGCCCATTCGCTTCACCTTTGGCAGAGGCGGAGCTGCTGAAGGCACAGGCATTGCAATCGTAGTGCTACTACGCCGCTTGAGAGCCGTTGATACGTGTAGTGACCGGGAATTTGCTGCAGGCTGGGACCAACTTCGTGCACAGTGCCAGAATGCTTGACGATTCAAAAGGCCCGCCACGGCCTGGTCCAGTACCTCCGACTTTGTGAGGTGAGCGAAGGGCTTCAACCTTGATAGCCCCACAGACAGCCAAACTGCAGGGGGCTAGCTCAGGCCCTTGTAGCGCAATGCTACGCGGCAGCATATCCTCATGACACACATGACATGCGATATCTAGCTACTTGTATCCATTCAGCCTGTTCCAATCTGCAGGTTACTAGCCCAGTGGCCGCACCCATCCCGCCATCCCAGGGTATACCGCTGGCACTTGCAGCGACTTCTACGAAACTTGCATAGGCCTCGCCTGAAACATGTAGCAACAACCTGCGAGTGGAGTTCTCATCCCTGCCATGTCCGGTCTAAAATCTAGACTGTGCTTTTCACCATTGAGCGAGAGTGGGAGCGGCAAATCCAACACCCAGAACAGGAGCAGGAGGAGGAGCTTGAGCGAAACAGCAAGACTTAGTAAGCAACCGCCGTCCAGCGCCGTCCTTTTAGTGGCAAACACTGAACCCCAAAAAAGTCCAGGCCGGCAAACCGACCAGGAGGTGGCAGCAACACATACTCTATCATCGCTGGACATGCGCCATTTAGGCCCTAAACCCAATCGAACGTAGCAAGCCTGGGCCTGAACCCCCATAATAAAAACATAGAGGCCCCCGAGTGCCAACGAGTGTTACTTGACAGGATGAAGCATGAACGGCACAGCAGGAAGGTAGCACAGGCTCCCGAGAGTAGGCTACGAACCCGCAAAGCCATGGCTTTGAAACCCTGAAGCGAGAAACCTCGAACGGAGTTGCCGCCAACCAGGCCACAACATGCAATTGCCACGAAAAGACGACTCGACTGCCGCGGGGAAAGAGCAAGCCTCCCAAGAAAGGAATTATTCAAATCATAAACACACCCTGCACAGAAGCTGCTCAGTGACCCCGAAAGGGTGACACAGAAAGGCAGCGATCATTAACATCCTTCTGTCAATCAGAGAATGTTGCTCTTCTGGGTTGCCGGCTTCATCCCAGAGAAGGGGACATCGTCGGATTCGTCAACTTCGTCGACCAAGCCGATGGACAAGTAGTTTTTGGCCTTTGCTCGAAGCTCTCGCCCACGGACGCTCTGAATCAACTGACTCCTTTGTCGCTGCACAGAGGTTCGAGGCGCGCTGAAATCCTGTACATCCATCAGGTGCTTCGCTCTGAGCTGGAACATTGGGTGCTTTGCCCCAGGTCTGATGTCCGGTGCCACCGGGTGCAGCAAGCGGAACTGTCTTCTTGATGCTTGCAGCTCTCTTTAGATGGCAGTTGCTTCAGGCCCCTGGAGGGAAACGGACGGAGGATCTTGCTCGCGGTTCAGCTTCACGTGCATCTCTCTGATGTACGCCTCAGATGAGGCCTCTCCTCGCCTCTCAGTGGAAAATTCTTGTGGCGTACAACCCTGTAGCAATCCACGTAAACTGCGGGGTTTGTAGCTTTTGGCTCTGTGACAATCCGGCAAGGTAGTAAAGGAAACCAGGAAAGTTCGTAACCATAACCATCCGCACAGACGTGACCGGACGCCTCGGTAGCTGAAGCAAGCAACAACCAACAACCCAGAAGCCTTCACCCTATCTCCAGCTTAAGAAGCATTCCTTAAGATGAGAAGCCTACAGCCCTGCAGCCCTCAAGCCCTAAACCCTAAAGTCCACCCGAAGTCTCAACAGATGTCGTTCAAAGGGTCTTGGTTCGGTGCATTCAACCCAAGTTTTGGCTTGGCTGCGGGATTGGTTTCTGTCACGGAGTGTCCTGGAGTCCTATTTTCCAGTTGTTTGTGCAGGCCGGTTTGCGTTCCCTTCACTCGGCTTGGGGCGGCGGGAAGAGACCTTTGTGCCGGGCAGCCGGATGCAGCCGCTTCCACATGAAGAAGAGCATGATCCAGCTGGCCAGCCATATTACTTGGAGTAAGCCCCAAAGCGCAGGTGCCCCCAAGCTGCCATAAGCCAAACCAACCAACTGTCCTGAAACAGGGGCGGAACCCGAAATGCCTCCCGTGCAGCTGGCCCATCGGCCTAAGGAGCGACATGCTAACCACGTCCTGAAATCGCATTGGCAAGGGAGCCGTTGCTCTGAAGGACCGAAAAGTACAATCCAGCGTTGCCCTGCCGTGGCTGATGGTTCATTTTAGTTCATGTATCAGGTTTCCTACTGGTCGCAGTCTTTTTCACAACGGCCATGCGCGAGCCTTGCCAATCAGTTTCGAGTACAGCGACTGCGTTGGGGGCATACTCGATCCGAAATCATACCACACTAAACTGGAGATAAATGTTGCCACAGGCAGCGAGGAGACACCAAAGCTTGACAGGCTTGCATAGGCCAGCAGCCCTGTATGGCTTATTAATGCCCAGGTAGACATCAAGTTTCGGTCGCTGAACCGTTTGCTAGCCCTCTGCAGGATTGCAGTGGAAATAATGGACTCCAAGGAGAGCGCTACAAAGACGTAGGAGTTGTTCAGCTGCGTCCATCCATAGTCCCGGCTTGTGATGACGGGCACGGCGAAATTGATGGCGCTCAGGGTAAATGCATTTCGGAAATTAAGGATGAAGACGAACCAGGCCCCTGTCTTGTGAAGCCACGGGTCGACAAAGAGTCGCATGTAAGGCAGCAAGCCCCAAAGGGTGAGGCACTCGCCTACCTCAGCTTTTTAGAGTAGCAGTGTGCACAAGCACTTCAAAAGGGCCCCCAATGCTCGTGCCCTGTGACGACGTCAGGTTGCCGGCGTTAAAGGCAGTGGCCGGGCAGGAGGCCGGCGCGGTGGTTCTTGGAAAGCACGCAGGACGAAGAGCAAAGCCAGCAGCTGGAGTAGCATCCTCACAGCTTCACAGAGCTTCACAGCTTCAGTCTCCACCGCGATTTCGCGGGAAGAACATGCACACCTGTGGAACTAGGAGGTCTAAGCAGTGCTGACAGCACCAGATCCGGTGGCGATGGTGGGGACTCATCGATGTCAACCGTGATACACGTGGTAAGTCATTGTGGCAATTGTGGCCAATGCTCATGTCAATGGAAGTGGCAACCATGCTGGCCGCAGCTGAAGCAGCAAAGGCAGAAGTCGAGGCAGGTGATTGCAAAGCAACAGCACAAGCAACGGTACCACATCTGCCTTACAAGGAAGTGCAGGGGCAAGATTCAGAACAGGTCCTAGAGAAACGAACAGCAATCAATGCTGTCAGTAGTAGTGGTTAGAAGTGAGGACGAGAAGTGTACAGCGAGGTGAGCGACAGCGAGTGGAGCGCCACCTGCAATCGCAAACAGTCGTACGAACAAACGGTCAAGGGAATCATGATAATTGGTAACAAAAAAAGAATTCAGAGATTCTGCCACACCGAACCTACATAACAAGGCGCAAGCCTCTTAATGTGAAGACGGGCTTCAAAAAGTAGCCAACCCAGGTGAAGTTGTCAAAAACCTCGGGGTTGCAGAACTGAAAATGACCGAAGGCTTCGCAGAAGCAAGAACGAGGGCTGGAACCTCATTCAAATGGGTTAGCAGCGGTTAGCAGTAGAGATCCCGTGGAAGCCCAAGGCCAGAGACTCCGCAGCCGAATCATCGACGGCTTACTGGCATGCATGTCCAGGCACCAAGGAGACCGGCCCCAGGCGGAGGGTAAAGCGAGGCAGCCATACGATGAAAAGGTTCAGGGCGGGACCAGCCAGTGTCAGTGTGTTGGACACGAGCACGAAAATGCCCATGTAGTGCGTGCGATCGGCCAGAGAGGTGTTCCGAGCAATGAACCTAAGACCATGAGAGCCAGCATCAGCATGTTCCCAGTCGCGACCCCCAAACTACTAAAAGAAATCACTCAAAGCGCTGTTCCGAAGCTCAATCGATGCGCGCTTGCGTCGCAACTCCCTGGGCGGCCGTTGCACCCAGCGCAGCTCTGGAGGCCAAGAGAGCCCACAAGCCAAGTGATGGGGCTGCTGCGTAGAGAAGACTGGCAAAAACCGAAGCCCTCAAGGTCCCATTTGGCAACAGCTAGACTGGGCGCAACACATTCGAGTGGAGTCCCGCAGCCCTCAACAGCAACTCAGGTTGGGACCCTAAGGAAACAGCGAAGACCTCCTTGTATGGCCGGCGGTCCACCCAAAAGCCATAGAAGCCCATGCAAAGAAGACGAGCCATTGCAAAGCAGCCCGCACAAAGCCTTGGCAGAGGTTCAGACTGGAGCAGGCCGGCTTTGTCCCAGAGCCTGGTGTGCCAAGCAGCCCGTACGCGTGCTTGTCACCCCCAAGAGACTCCACGTAGCCAAGCAAGGAAGGCACTGACAAAGTTCCTGCAACACTTCACGCAAAAAACTGGATGCCACTGAAAGCACTCGGTTTCCCCAACGGCACTTCGGGAGCCTTCCACCGCAATCAGCAAGCCGATGCACCATGCGGAAAGCAAATTCAGCATGGAAGTTGTCTCCGGGTTCAAGTCAGGATCGGCGGACAGCGATCTTGCCAGCAAGCCAGCCGGTCCTTCCAGCCCAGAGTTTGCACCAAGCCCCCCCCCCCCCAGTCTCTGAGTGTGCAAGCGCGTCCTGCAGCCGGAGCAACAGCCTCGACGAGATGCTCTGTACTTCTGCACAGCAAATCTAAGAGAGCGCGAATTGAAAATGCTTCCACTAGTGCTTGCTCCAAGATGCCGCTTCATCTTCCGAAGGTTGCTGCGTCTCCATTGTCTCCATTGCATGCGTGTTGCAGGCAGCAAAAGCTTAGTGCACATCTTTCGTCTTCATTCTTGCGACACCGTTGCAAGCTTGTGGGGATCGAGAGACCTCCTGCCGTCTGATCTGGCTCTGATCGGGTCACGAAATCTTCTGATGTCCAGAACCAAACGGCTTGAGACACGAGGTGAAAGAAAGCATTGCAGAGCAGTTGATGTGACAGCTATGACAAGCAATTCTTCCGGACCAGCGCTGTGCAAGTCTCGAAAGCGATGCTAAAGCGAGCTAAAGGCCAGGCAAGGGTTCGGCCCTCGGTGTTACGGAATCGGCCTAGCACTAGCAAAGCAAAAGAAGCTTTGAGCTTTTGGGGGGGCTTGATCGTGCCACAACACCGTGACAGCCTTCTGCCTCTATGTACAAAGTCTGTGAGAAAAAGGTGCAACAAGAAGTACGCCTATGCCTGCGCCCGAGTCAGGCTGGCCCTGTTGGACCATACCATTGGGCAAAACCAGGCCGAATCAAGTCGGCAGCCTGCACTGCTTGTTGGACGCGCCATATCCCTTTGTTTGAAACTCACGCACTTTCGGGGCACACGCTTCCGGTATGGCCCGTCAAATAAACAGAAGCCATGGGCGGCGGCTGTTGCCCGGCGCCTTAGCCAGCGCCGCCCACGGAGTTTCGCAGACTGGCGACCAGCTCGGAGGACACGCCTCCCTGATAGATGCACTGCAAACGCGTTTACAGGGATGCTGCAGGCTGGAGCTTGGAAGAACATCTCTCTCTACTTTACAAGTATGCAGCCAAGTTGAGTCATCTGAATCCAGGGCAGGCAATGTCGGCTCGAAATGCAAGGGACTTGCCCTCATTGGACTGGACTTTTGTTGAACCGAAGAAAATGCATTAGAGCCTGTCGATGGTGCAGGAAGTCTGCCACGCAATCCTGGGCAACATCAAGGCATTATTGCGCACACAGGTTGCGGAACAACAGAATCACCAGAAGCTCTTTGCAAGCCGTGACTCCGCTAGGCCCTCTCCGGAGGCCTGCACAACACATGTCGCAGGCCGTTTTATTGCGGAGCATGTCAGAGCCCGCCTCGGCAAGAGATTCCTGCACTTTGCACACAGAATTAAACAGCTTGAAGCGAGCGGCGTCGCTCATCACACATTACAATCCTTGTAGCGAGCCATCATCACTTCTGGCTCTGACAGCTCCTCCAAAGATGTTCAAAGATCAACAGGTAATCATCACAAAACGTAGAACATGTCCGGTTTGTTCCGGCGGCACTCATCTGCGCGTGTTTTTCGCAATCCGTGTCTCAAAACGGCCGTGTCCAACACATTGATGTGCTCTGATGAACAATGATGCACAGAACATCCCGTCAACATGACAAAGATCACAAGTGGGCTCTCAACAGCTGCTCCTTCCGCTCTTCAGGATCACCTGGAGGTTCGGGTCAAGAAAACCCAAATTGAGACTCTGCTTCGTGGCTCAAAAGTCTGCCAAGCTCTGCCGAAACAGGGCCTGGCAGCGGGAAGTACATCTCCAACATCGCTAGGAAGCCACCTCGGCACGAAAGGCAAAACGCGGCAGACTCGTCGCTGTTTCTTTAGGAGCGCACCGTCTCTCCCGCAAGCAGTGGTGGCATGCGCTTGGAGTCTTTCCCGACACAACAGCCGTACTACGCCCGTGGATGACACGACATGACACGACATCCCGCATGACATCAGTTTGGCCAAGTGGCTGAAGAGTCCCCGGGGACCCCTCAGGAGACAGAGATCCTCCCAGCGTCTGGCATGGGATTTCGTAAGCTCGTGTCCCTCAGATAATATGTTCTGCATATCATGCAGCTCTAATTGTGCCTGCAGCATCACAATGAGATCTAAAAGAAGGCACGTATCCTGGCGTCATGTAGTAAAACATGAAGCCAGCAGAGGTTAGCTGAAAGCAATCCATCTGTCCCACAACGTCGTGATCAACGGAAGCCTGGGCTGCGCAACAGCTGCAGATATATCCACGTATTTCACCTTCCTCACAAAACTCATCTTGCCATGCATCAGAGAGACGTCACTGATCACTAGGCTAAAACAGCCGCATGAAGCTAAGGCTGTGTGGCTGCAGCCGTGCAACGATGAGTCTGTAGATCCCAACGTAATGAAGTAGTCCACGGTGAACCACAACACCTCTCCGGGCAATATTGAATAGGAACACAATCCAAGATCCATGCAGCAAGTTCCAATTCGTAAACTAACGTTTAGGCTAAAGCCTTTGGTGAGGTACGCATGTAAGGAACTAATGAATTGATTAATTAGTGCCTGTGCTTCCGCCCAGACTGCTAATAAAATAAGCACAGGACTCTTCCGAAAGACAAAGACAGTCTCGGGCTTCTCAAAGGGCTTCCCGTTACACCCTAAACCCCGTAGGGGCCAAAACCGTCGAGAGAGAGAGAGAGAAGGACAGCCTCGGGCTGTTGAGTGCAGGGTTTAGGTTTCCAAACCCCCTATTCTCGTTAACCTTAGGCTTTGGGGCATTCCGGGACAAATGCCTCCGGAAAACACCTTTTGATGCTACAGGAAATTTAATAACAGAGGGAAGCAATGCAAAGTCACTTGTAAACCAAAGTTGCTACTGAACGTTCGGGTGGGTGCCTTTCCATCCTAGGAGGAGGGAATTTGCCGTTTGACTATGTTGGGTCCGTCGCACTCCTGCACGTCCTACAGATTTCCGCGAGATCCACAAAGGATTAGACTTCAGCAGCAGGAAAGATGGCTGGGAGACATAATGATTTTCTGGGTTCTTCAGTTTCCCAAAAAAGCACCTCGATGCCTGCCGACTCGAAGAACAAGGCATGGTTGGGCAGAAATGTCCTGAGCAATGCGCTTGGCGAGCGTTCCACTGCTTTTCCCAAAGAGCCTACCTGCCTCCTGCAATCCAGGATGAGGTTGCACAGGTCACTCTCTCATTCTAATCGCATGAAGGCGGCAGCACGAAGCTCCGGTTTCTTGCTCTCACGGGGTATAACCACTCCGCTTAGAGCTCTCATGTGCTGATAACCAAAGGCAGCAGCCGGCCGCTGCGGGCCCACAACTAGCAAGAACATCTCGAGGTTTGTTCAAGTTATCAACGTACCGACCTCCTGCAAAATTCGCTGCTGTGGGAGCCCTCTGCGGGTTCCTACCCTCACCTGTGCAGTCAGTATTGGGGCATGAGATATATGATGGCTTTCCTCATATCAACACCAAAGGCTTCCTGAGAAACGAGGCGAAACACCTTTGGATGACGCTCCCACTCGCGACAGGCGTAACTTGTTTAACACACGACAACCTGGTGCAGTGCACCGTGCTTTCTTGATCTTCGTCATGTACCATGACTTACACTTCGTGCTGCCTGCCATCTGAAAATGATATGGTGGGCATTTCGACTTGTTGCTACCTTGGTGAAAGGTCTTAACTGAATCTTCACCTGTCAGGAAGAGATTTCGGATGCGGGCAGCGATACTACCAAGTTCTCAAATCACTTCTGCACGATTGACTTGCTGAGGCCAAGCATCTGGATCAGGATATCCTGACAGGACTTATCACAAAAGGGTGGCTGGAGCTGTAGGAAGCCAGCTGGCAGGTAAGATTCAACATCACACTAACTGACTAGGTGCATCCGAAGCTCAGCCACTGCCGTGTCGCGGAACAGCCCATGCAGATCTGGATGGTGGCAGCCAGGGAGTAGCTCCTGTTCTGGCCATGCCCATGGGAAATCACCATCGAGAGCTTCTCTCACAGTACAAGCAGCAAACCTGAGACCACTAGGTGCACAAGGAATGAGGTGACTGGCATGTGCAAATTGTGTGGCGCTGCACGCAGCTCCCACAAAACCTGCAGTCCATCCTCACTGCCAACCACACACTGCCAAGCATTGATAAGCCACCAGAGCAAAGGAGAAGAAAAGTCACAAAGGTGTCCGTTCACAGATTTGCATCCCTCAGAACCGCGGCTTCAAATACATGTAGAACGCAGACTCAAGAACAGCAAATGTTCACCTCGCTAAGATTATCTAAGATTTCGAAGGGCCACTGGTTGAAGAGTTGGTTTAGAGAAAAGCAAGCAACCACTGTTTGGGACATGTCATGGTCTACATGGTCTACACGACACTTTGGCATCTCCTCGATGATGGCATCCACTATCCAGCAGCAGGTCTCTTCGTCGAATCCAAGCTTCAGCAGCACTGCAGCAAGCTGATTCCTCCGGCAGGAGACAGTGACAGTCGTCGCCAAATCACCCGCTTGCGGGTCTGAGAAAGGCTGGTGACTTGCCCTCGCCCTGGCCCCGGGGTCATGCCCTGGGCATAGCCGACGTGAGGCCGCTTCGCGGCTGTTGCGTGCAGCACCCGGCGCAGTGCTTCGCGGCGCTCTGGAGCGACCAGGTCACGCCTGATGGCAGGCGGCATCTAATCAGAGTGGTATGGGGTTCGAGGACACCGAGTGAGTGAGTGTGTGCGTGCGTGTGCGTGTGCATGCATGCGCGCGTGGAGCGAGGGAGTGAGAGTGAGAGTGAGAGTGAGGGCGAGGGAGAGTGCAGAAGAGAGAGGAGTCCAGAGAAATGGGGGCAGTGTGATTGATCTCTGCGTCGCACGCTGAGTGCGGAGGAGCCGAGGCTTCGAGGAAAACGAGCCCGGGAACGGTTCCGGCCAGCGGAATTGAAAGGCCTCGTGCGCGGTACATCGGCATTGATCTGATCCAACACCTTGCAAGAGTTGTAAACTCTGTAAGCGACCCCTTGGCTCTCACTTTCCGCTGCGACATGTTAATGACCATCTGCCCCACTTTCAGCTCTGGCCTTCTGCGGCAGCTCAGCCTCTGTTAGCGCCTGCTCCAGAAGTGAGGCAAAGGCCACTGGCCTGTCTCGTTCCGTGTGGCACCTCGTAATCGCCACTGCTGAGGGGCAGAAGCTTCGGCCAAAGCAGATGTCGATACCTCAGATTCCAGCTCCGTCAGCATGAGCATGAATGCATGACACAGCCACCGCAGGGAAGAGCACCAGTCTGCGCTCGAGTGCCGAGAGGCTTCAGGGGCATCCCCCGCCGGCCTACGAGACTCTGCACACACTCTCTCAAGACTCGTGGTTTTCGTTCGCGCAGGGCACGGCCCCGGCACGCGCCTGAGAGCAGTCCCTCCAGCTCCTCCGTCTCCAGCTCGGCGAGGTCACGTGAAGCGAGGAACTCCTGCCAGGCCTCCCAAAAGCTTTGAGGCATGGCTCCGGCAGGGGGTGCCGACATGGGATCGCCATGTTCGCCTCATGGGTCTCGGCATCCTCATGTAGGGCCTGCACAGGCTCGCGGGCAAAACCAAAAACCCACCAAAGGGTCATGTCACTGGGCCCGTGCCTGCTCCCAACGCTGGCGGCTAGTGGGAGTCTCCTCGCCCGGACACTTCTCGTCGTCTGCATCCTTGACAGTCGTGCAGATATGATCACACATGTTGCGCATATCATGTGCACCGCGCACCATGTGCAATTCTCTGAGAGAAAGATAGTTGGATGGCGGATGTCAATAGAGGCTGTGCTTCATGGCCCATGATGGCACCTTCTGTACTCCGGAGATCAACCGCCGGACTTCGTCCACACGCCCACCCAGGCGCTGTACGAGCTCGGCGCCTTCAAGGAAGGCCACAAGCAGCAAGCAGAAACGAGCACTGACACACAAGCCGAACCAAAAGAGTTGGCCGATGCCTTTCCGGATCTGTGGCGTCAGAGAATCCACAGTCAGGGTGCAGAGGTCACCTTCAGAAGGGAGCATCTGTTCAAGCCCACGCCTCGCTGCCACATAGAGATCACAGGCGACTCGATGCCAAGCGGCGCAGGCCCACGAGACCGAGCAGCGCTGGGAGTTGGTCAGCAGCCCGCAACTGGGGAAGGAAGGCCGCTGCCCAAAGAGACGATCTCGCTGAAGCTCTTTGCCGAGCCCCGAGCATCACTCACGGATTTCGCACACACCGGACAACTGCCATCCTCACACGGGCTTCCTTCCGTCGAACTCATTTATGAAAAGGCCGGGCTTGCTGCCTCCCCGACGCACGCAGCGTGAAAACCTCTGCTCAACGTTTCACTGTTCTCAAACTCCTTCAAAGTATCTTGCAATTCACTCGCAGAGGCGACTACACGTTGGGCATTCTGTGCCGGAATCGTGCACGGCGCCGAGTAGCAGTGGAACTGCGGACATCGTCGCAGCGTGGACGTTGCGCCCAGCCCCAATGGCTCCTGGCACTCCGAGGGTCACAGGTAATCCTTCACATCAGACCACAGGGTTGAAGGCCTCGCAACACGGGCAGCGCAGGGCGCCGGAAATACGCTGATGCACCCCGTCCTCATGCATCTTGACATGAACTGAAGGATCTACTCCGGTCATTGTATCGTCAAGGCTCCAAGTACTCTATCGAGCGCTCGACTTCAGCAATCTTCTCCTGCACCAACTTCCTCATGATCGGGCCAGTACTGAACCATTCCGACACACTGCGAAAAATTTTCACCGAGGGTCTGCATAGGTTTTGTGGTGGACCATCCGTGCACCTGGTCAGCAAGACTCGTCTCCACGTCAGATTGCATCCAATGTCTGGGTACCCATGCATGGGGAGCACTTCTCCGTTCTCCGCTCTCATTGAGTGTCCAAGCGACAGCCACGCCCACGGCAAGCCCAGCACCCAAGCCGCCGAGGACCTCCGGTCTCTTGCAGCCACAATCCGCCAAGGGTTGCTCATTGGCACAGCTCATTCATGAATGCTGTACTTCTGATGGCAGTCCGGAAGTTCTCGTGCTGTCCAAGGCGCACGGCCAGCGATCAGCATTGTTTCCGTGCCTGCCTGAGACATGCGCAGACCTTCTCAATGCACCTCATGGCAGACACATCGCCGTGGGAACGCGAAGCGCCTGGGTGAGGGTGACATACTTGGCCGACCGAACGAGCATCAAGTTCCTTGACTCTAAACCATCACAGCGGCTACATGCAGGACAAGGGCTGACACCGCGGCAACTGTTACGCGCAGTGTTTACGTGCAAGAGTTGCTCAAAAAGCCATGAATGCAACTAGTCCTACTATGACATCTGGATGAAGAACTCGCAGGACAAGCCAGTGCAGCGGAACAGTTTCGGAAAGTTAAGCTTAGTTAGTCCCCTCGCCGTCACTCCTCAACAGCTCAAGTTTACGGCCAAGCTATCCAAGTTCAACATGACACGACATCACCTGCATGTTGCCTGTTGCTCTGCTGCTCAGGAGCGCAGTCTGGGTGTACACGGCCAACCTCGCTTCTTCGAATGCGGTGACCGGAGACACCCGAGACGTCCGAGAACCCGACGCGCGGCCGGCATGTCGCCGCGGCGAGGAGCGGTGGTGCGAAGCAGCGGAGCTCAGTGCCTGGACGTCTCTGTAAAACTGCGGCCTTCTGCGGCATTCTAGAGCCGAGGCACGCAGCGGAGCTCGGACTCGACGGACTCAAAACCGAGCCTCGGCTGAGGCACGGGGGGGGTTCTGTACGGGGCTCCTGTACCAGCCGGCAAAGTACAGACAAGATGCTGCTCGCTCAGGTCGATCTCCATGAGTTTTGCTAGGTTCCTCCCCTTCTCCTTAGTTAGGATTTGTTCCCCGGTACTGCTCTGCATTTCCTGATTGAACCTTGGAGTCCGTCAGAGCGAATGCTATGGGTGCTATGATGCCGACAGGGTGCAGCTTCCACCACGGCATCCTGCAATGGGCTAAGTGGGGCGAAGTGAAGTGAGAGCGGCAACATTTTAACATCTTGGCATGCGGCATGCTCACATGTGCCGCTGACCTGTGTACTGCTCCCGACGCCTGTGACAGCGCTTCCCGCACCGAAGGCCTTGGAGGGGCAGGCCACCCAGGGCACATCCCTCCGACCCAAAGTCTGCCGAGCATCGATGGCCAAAGGTGGTGCGACGAAGAGAGATCCAAAGGACGCAACCTTGGCGAACTCTCAGGTCGAGAGTCGAAGCTTCAAAGAAATACGAGGCCCAGGCTGCCAGGCCGGCTGCTGCTGTGTTTCCCGAGTTGACCTGCTGTATATACAAGCACACCAGCGAGCACGTCAGCAAGCGTCTTGCAACCACGCGGCCCTGTACCACCTGCACAGAGTCACCAACAGTTCATGTGTCGAGCACACATCCTGCACTACGAAAAATCTCTAGGGAAAGCGTTCCATGAATGTGGCACGAGGCACTGTTTGGTAATTTGCTTGTTGAGTTCCTCCAGCGTCCTGCGATAGCCCGAGAAAGAAGCGGCCGCGTGCAGCGTCCTATGACAACACGAGCATAAAGAATAAAACTGCTGAGGAGCGAGCTTCAGAGTTTTCCGACGCACGGCGAGAAGAACGGCAGCAGCGGCTACGAGCCTCTCTGCTGGCTTGGGTTCATGGTAGCACTACTGATTGTTACTGATGCAGTGCAGGAACACCTTGACATGGCGCCAGTGACGGCGCTGGTGCAGGTGGCTTCATCGGAAGAAGAGGATGCTGGCGACATCTGCAAGCGATGCTAAAGCCCGAAAGCCACAGCTCGCTGCAGGAGACTCGGAGCTATAGCCTCACAGTTTCCTGGCCACGGTGCAGCAGCGTCTGCTGCCTGTCATCACGTACGCAGTGGAACGAACTGCAGCGAAGCTCTGGAGCCTTCTCCAGTCTCGCCTGCAGCGTGGCCGGCGGAGGAGCTCGGCGATCTTCAGGGAAGTCCGGCCACCACTCCTCGGCACTGCTTGGGCTTGGGAAGGGTCTCAAACCCCCTGCTTTCGTTTCTCGTGCATCGAAGATTCCCACTCGTCCGGCCTCCCTTCGTTACAAGAATTCCAGGCTCGCCAGACCTGGGCAAAAGACGTCGAGAGATACCTGCATTGCGCACTGGTGTAGAGACCGCCTCACTTCACCGACACGTCTCCGGCTGCTGGGAATCCGGCATGACAGTGCCTGATCTGGGGAAGACAAAACACACTTGGTAAGTGAAGTCAGATAAATGGAAACGGTTTGGACAAGGATAAGAAATCATGAATCTATAGATACTCACACTCTTCACGACCCTTCAACCCGGAGAGATCGCGAAGATTGCACATGTGCTGGAAACCTTTGTGGCGAGCCGCGTGATGGGTCCGTGGATCTCGAACCAGGCATCTACTCCTCTGCCGCCGACCTGTCGGAATGGCTCCCCAGGCCCTTTCTTGCTCTGCCCTTTGGCCTTTAGCCCTTTCTGAGAACCTCGTCCCAGGCATCGGGGCGAAGCTCGATGACCTTCCACGAACATGCACAGAGACATGCGACGAAAGACAAGCACAATGCACCGGCGGCCTTGTAAGTGCGGGAATCTGAGACTCAGCGAATTCTCGGAGGCTCACTTTGCCCCTACATCTTGCGACAGACACTGTCGCATAAAGGATCCTGGACAAGCCCCTTCCCAGCAAGGGGGTGTCTCTAAACTCTAAAGAGACCCAGAGAACTCTCAGAGAACAGATTCCTGCGCGCCTCCTCTCCACGCCGAGTCCATGCAGACCGGCTTTTCCTGTCGACTCCGTGCACCTATGCGCAAGCTCCGTGCAAGAATCGGCTGACCATCGACTCTGAAGCTTAAAATGGGGGGCCTTAAAGAGCATAGGAATCCGACTTCAAATAAGCTCAAACACGTTCCAAAGCGTTGACGAGTCAACCTCCGTTTTGCCGCGCCTTGCGGCCGCCTGGTTGAGACCGGAAGCGGACCTGCACTTTGAAAAGGCTCCCGTCTCGCTTATCTAACTCGCAGCAACTGAAGGGCATTCCATCACAAAAGACGTTGCAGCGGAAAAGCTCTGCAGAGGAAGGTCCGGGCCGGATCCGGCCTGAATCCCTGTACTGCTGGACGGAAGAACCTTTGTGGCCCCGAAGCGGCCGCAGAGGGCATCTTCCCAGGAGTTCCACATCTGCTCCTGAGAGCGGCGCTGGCAAAGCACTTCAGCCAGTGCCAGGCTTGTCAGCCACTGCCTACGCTTCCGTCTTGCTGTGGACCCGATATCGTCAAATAGCAGCAGTCCTCTCCATGCTCGTCTATCCATCTGATCTTCATGGAGATCCTCAAGGACGCAAGGTTCTGGCAAGTCAGCGACGGATGCACATTAGCAGCCAAACGCCACGCCCAGCAGACGTGCAACTGTGTGGTTTCACGATCATTGAGAGAACGGATGCTGGCACACTGAAGTCAACCGACACAAGCTGTTGCTGCCAAAGAGTCTGAGTCAGCTTGTCGTAGCCTTGGCATCAAGATAACATCCCGACATTATGTGAAGCGCAGTGCTGAGATGTGGCAGCTAGTACCCTACCGCCTCTAGGTTCGTGTTGCAATACGTATGCCGTATTTTGTCGTGCTCCGGACCCTTGCACAATTTCACAGAGCGCCGGCGGCGCGTGCCCACTGCACTGTTCGCCCAGGAACTCTTCAGCGTCAGCCGCAGGGGTGGCGGCGTCGGCCGCGCCCCAGAAGATGAGGCCATGGCCGGGCATTGGGCTGTTGGGGCAGTAAGGGGGAATGGGAGAGCTGCACAAGGCGAGGCCCTTGCAGTACACATCGGGGGCGGAAGCTGGCCTGCTGCTTTGTTGTTTTGCCTTGCATGGCCGACAACCAGCTGCACCAACATCTATTACCAAGCAGTTTCGCTGTCCCTACTGGCATAGTTCAGCAATGCTCAAGGTTGCTGCAAAAGGTTCATCAGCACTTCGTCACACCGGATCCTACACAGAATGTGATCGTGCACTCGCACGTTGCAAGCGCAGGGCATTGGAATCTGGGCCCGGTGACGTTGATGAATATTCCTTTCAGGCCACTTTCCCCCGCAGAAGGGGGGCAGGTGCCCATTCGCACCTTGGAGCAGTTTGTGCTGTCGGAGTCTGACAGCGTTTAATTCGCACAGATCTCGGCATCGGACCAGGATGTCCGTCTCCGTTAGCTGTGGAACTGCCAGACCAAAGCACGCTCGTTGTGTCTCTCCCGCTCTGTGCACAAAGGCCGGATCGGGCCGGATTTACAGGCGCTGAGGGTCTGCAGATGGATGCATGGTCATGCTCAAATTAGCACGATCCAGTGACTGTGTGCTGGGCCTTCTTCCACCTCTTCTGCAGGTTCGGCGGCATCCTTGTTGCAGCAGACATAACACATCAAAAGCTCAAACCCCAGATTCAGCTCACAGAACGCGCAATGGGACCAGTGCAGCTTCCCCTTCTGCCTCCTCGCCCTCCGGCCTCGGCAAGGATCTACAGGACGCCAGACAGCGACATGCGGAAGAGTGCAGTCAACATGCAGACAAACCGCTTCCCCTCTTTATCTTCTTTGACATTGAATCTCTTTGATACATGCGCGCATGCGCCCCCCACGAATACTTCTCCCTAACCTGCGGAGCGTCGTTTGCAGTTGCATGTAATGCAGTCTCAATCTCATCTGGGCACGCTGCGGCACCTCTTCCGCCTCATCTGCGGCCCTAAGAACGAGCAATTCATGTTCAAGGCATCTCAGTCAGAAAGGGCGCAGCAACTAAACAAAACCGTACGCAAAAGCGTCTTGAAGCTGGAAGGCTCAACTCCTGGGATTCCAGCTCTTCTGCGGGCACTTCCACAGTCTCACCCTCCTTCCAGGAATTGCAAAGAGCTTTGCGGACCCCGTGTAGCAGGAGCATCTCATGTAGTCAGATGGCATGCGAGCATGGAAGCTGATCCTCCTCTGCCATCGTGTCGCCCCGGGACGAGTGAGCTGGATGTGCCCAAGATGGGACTTTCTCTTGCGTGGACTGTTCAGGGCTGTATTGAAGCTGCTGGCTCCCAGGCTTACATACCGCAAGCTCCCGCTCCCCGCCACTGCAACATGTCTTTTTGCTTACTCACTCCAACATGGTTGATGCTGTCAAGCCGGTGGCGAGCTCGTCATCATCTTCAGCGTTCAGTCGTAGAAGCTACCAAAACTCACCCTACGGACCCTACTGGAAGTCAGTGCTACCTAGGCAGACAGAACTCTGTTGGATGTTGGGGGGAAGCACGGAGTGGCATGCGGGAATGTACGCAGGGCACCTTGGAAAGAAGACATTCACATGCAACCCAGCTTCGAAGAGTTTTTCTGAGTCTCCTGCACTTCCAACGTGACGTATTGCTGTGGACAAGGCAGATGGGCAAAGCTTCAATAGCTTTGCCGCGCTTTGCTGCCGTTATCCGCTGATGGGTGTGAAGACGATGTTGTAGGCGTTGCGCAACAGAACCTGTTCCAATGCAGCCGTCCGAGATGCAGCCAACTGGAGCAACTGGAGCTTGGCAGAAGCCACGTGCACAATGCTGTAAGTCTGGCCTTGTATCCCATGCCACGCATGGGCTCCACAATGTCGCGATCGGCTTCGATGATCACAACCTGGGCTCGCTCACAAGTACACACGCAAACAAACATTCCAGTGCACGCTGACAAGGTAAAATGCGACTTGAATATCAGTCTGAGTGAACCGCGTCGAAGGTGCAACCTTGCTGTTGCACACGACCAAAGATCGCCCTGCAGGGTTCTCACATGTTCTCACCCCCGGCACTTAGCATCGCACTCACGGACCCCTGTGCCTGTCGTAGCCCTCAGCGTCAATGGAAAGCACCGTGAAGGGCTGTCGGCCACAGCGACCTGCAAGAGTCAACACTTTACTCCGGTAGAACACTTAGTTGTAACTGTTTTCTTTGATGTAACTTTTCAGCTTTTTCAGCGAATGACTCAGTTGTAACTTTTTTTGGCTCGAAAACAGCAAATCTCTGCAGAAGGTTGCAAAACAGGCATCTTAATTATAACTTTTTTATGTCTGTAGCACCAAGCCACGATGTATTGGCCGTTTCTCCTTGGGGTGTTCGTCTTCGGTCAAAAGTTCCTGCTAAATTCATTCCTGCGGGTTTTCGTCTCCTGCTGGATTCACTCAATTCCTTAGGGTTTTCGCCTTGGGTATTCACTGCTTAAGGTTTTCGTCTTGGGTATTCACTCCTTAGGGTTTTCGTCGTGCGGTAAATTTTCCTGCTGGATTCACTCCTTAGGGTTTTCGTATTCGGTCTAGGGTTCCTGCTGAAATGACTCCTTAGGGTTTTCGTCTTCGGGAAAAGGTTCCTGCTGGATTCACTCCTCAGGATTTTTCGCCTTGGGTATTCGCTCCTTAGGGTTTTCGTCTTGGGCATTCACTCCTTAGGGGTTTCGTCTTGGGTTAAAGGTCCTGCTGGATGCACTCCTTAGGGTTTCGTCTTGGGAATTCACTCACTAGGGTGTTCGTCTTGACTTGGATATTCATTCCTTAGGGTTGTCGTCTTGGGTATTCACTCTTTCAGGATTTCGTCTTGGCTTAAAGTTTCCTGCTGGATTCACTCCTTAGGGTTTTCGTCGTTTTCGTATCTGTAAAGGGATTGCCGAAGCAATTGCATTAGCACTGGTACATGTGGCTTCCGCATGTCGCTAAGCTTAAAGCCCATTACCAAGGGAGCAGAGTGTAGAACTTTGGCACGGGATAGACAACATCCCAGAATGGTTGTCAGATGCTAAGGCTGTTAAGGCCTCATAAGACATAAGATAGATATGTATTTGTAAGTGAGCATAGCAGCTTGATGTAAGGCTGTCGAGCGGCTTCAGGTAGGGGCCTGGCGAGTGGGGAAGTTAACAGCCACCTCGAAGCAAGAGAGTCTCCTGGTTTGGGCCTCAAGCCACGCGCGCATGATTTTCAGAATGAGCTCGTTTACGCAAAGCCTGACTGCCGGGTTGGTTGGGGCTCCACCACAAGTGGGGTAGGTGGGCAGGTGGGGAAGTGGGGTAGGCGGGGGAGGTGGGGTAGGCGGGGCAGGTGGGGTATAGGCCGGGCAGGTGGGCTAGGCAGGCGTACGTGGGGTAGGTCGGGTCTGTAGCAAAAGAAAAGTTACATCTAAGAGAAAAGTTACAGCAAAGAAAAAATACAACTAAGCCTGCTACCCTTTACTCCCGGCGCAGTGGATTGCCACAGCTTTCTTTGGGGTTACATCCTGCACTTTGCATGCTGCCAATTCCAAGTCCCGACTTCTCGCACGTTCACCGTTAACTACCGCACTTGCGTGTTGACTGCTGCTTGTCGTGGCGTATCGTGGCGTTGAATGTTGTGTGGCACGTGCTGGATGGAAGCAAGCCCAGCTTCTCCGAATATCAGAACATCCTGAGCCCTAAGCCTGAGCGCTCGGAAAGTCGCATAGCACTTGCCTTGTCGAACATACTCTCTTTGTTGCTCACCTTGATCGTCACGGGGAATCAGTCACAGAAACAAAATGCTTTTCAATGCTGTGCTTGCCCTGCATGTGGACGGGAAGACGTGAGTTCCACATCCTGAGAACTCTTCGGAGACAGATCCGAATTCCATTATTTGACCCACATGGCTTGCGACTGTACTCCAGAAGCGAATCTCTAGTCCAAGACTACCATTCTAGCAGGCCAGCTGCACGAGCATGACATTCTCAAATATTCTCAAGACCACTAATCAAACAGTCGGGTATCAGGTTTCAGATTCGTTCAGAGTTCAAAGCCTCCGGTTGTGCGTTGATGCTGTCTTTAGTGAGAGCCCCCAAAGCGCTAAGTCGGCCACATACCAGCCGCGCATCTACTGCGGCTATGTGGTAGATGAAGTCCTGGGAGGAGAACATGTAGAATCAACAAAGCATATTCGGTCATCACTGCTCCAAAATCGCATTTCACCAAGTCACTGGTTTGGGATCAAATTGCCGCTTCTTGTCCTACACGAACCATGGTCATAGCTGAACAGGTGTTTTGCCAGGGCAGCAGTCTTGTAGGCATGCAAGGCATGTAAGTTATCCTGCCTTGACCAGCGTGCTTTCCAAAGATGCAGGAAAAACCCGGTACCTTGCGCATCTGCAGCTTGCAACTCGAGCCTGGGCTTGGGCAGTTGCGGTCGTGCTGCTCCATGAGCTTCGTGGCCTCGACCAAGCCACCTGTTGAGCCAAAAGTGAGAGGCCCCAGAGAGGCCCCGAAACAGACTCGGGGAGGCCCGGGCCCCGGGCAGTTGAAGAGCTCCACGCGGCCCCGGAAGGCGGAGCTGGCGGCCGCATAGCGCTTCCGTAGGGACAGGAAAACCTGCCCCGCACGTGGCAGAACGCGGCGGCAGTGCCCGGCAGCGCGCTGCTTAGCTCTGCAGGAACTGCGGCCTCTGCGTCTGGTTCGAAGAGAGTGGCGGTGTAGTTCCTCACACGATCCGAGCAGTCCGGATGCTGAGAGAGGCTCGCGCAGTCTTGCACGCTTCGTATGCTTGGATTGCCAAGCATCAAATAGTTTATCAAATAAAATGAATTGGAATTCCAGACCTCGGCTGTGCAAATCTGTGACCACGACTTGCTGCAATGAGCCTAGTGTCAACCTCGCACCTTCGTAGAGTTTGGAGACGCATGTCCTTTATCCCGGCACTACATGTGTTCACTACGGCTAGCCAATATTAGCCAACAGCATCCTGGGCACGCCGTCATTCGCGCCAATGTCCCAAACGCAGCCCCCAGCAGGAAGGTTCATGCCCATGCCTGAAAGCATCCAAAACTCGCGTAGAGACTGCGGCTGTAGCTGAACTCTTATTTGAAGGGCTGGGCCCGGCTAGGCCCTCAAGCTCGATTTGAGCACCTTCGAGGCGGTGGAAGAGCTGCCCCTCCGAGAGGTCCTCAGCACACAGCATGCTGCTTGCAAGTGCGGCAGTGTACGAAAAAGGTATGTCGACTTGGCAAACGATGAAGGTGTTCTTTTAAAGGTGAGGCTCAGCCCTTGCCTGCTTGGTTTGTGGCTCGCGCATTTTTGCTGCAAAAGACAAATTGCTTCAAAACACGATCTTGCAGATTCCAGCTCCCCAGGTACTATAAGCCATGTTGTTCAACATATAATTACACAACACATCGTGCATGGAATTTCTGTATTATCTACAGCATCTACAGTATGTATAGCATGTATAGTACCTAAATATGTAGCTTATGCAGAATACCTAGAAGATACAGTATACATAGCATCCGAAGTGAACAAAGATATATTCATTCATATGATGCTGTACAAGGTAGTTCTGTGCTGGACATGAGGTAGAGGTACGCAACCAGAAGATATCACACAAAAGAAGCCAAGCAACCGCGAAGAAAATATGCGGAGGAGGGGGAGGGACGGGCCACACCGGAGCTACACATGCGAAGACATGACTAAGCCGAACACAGCAACGTTCTTGTAAAGACCTCGCTGCTGCCGCCGATCCCCACCCACAAAGACTTCAAGATACTCCTTCATACGAACGGAGCCGATCGTGACAGGAGAGTGGTTGGTGGAGGAGGTTTGATGTGAACTAAGCGAACAGGGAATTGCATCTGTCGCCGCTTGAATTCTTTCCTCCCTGCAGCAGTGGGTCGGACATCAGCAGCGGTGCAATCAAGCTGTTGAAGCGCACGAAGCCAGTCCGGACGAATCGATACCTGCACAACATGCCTGCTGCACAAACCAGACAGCCAAAAATGCCCGGCCTGGTGGCCCATTGCCAAACGAAGAGAATCGCAAATGCCAGGCTTAGAAGAGCCGTCTTCCACCGGCCTTTCCAGCCGGCGGATATGGGACCTGATCAGGAGGCCAGTTTTCTGTCGGAACCAAAGAAGCCTATTCTGTGCCTGCAGTCAGATCAAAGCAGCTCCTTCGTGGATGATCCTGTGCGAACTTCTGGTTGTGGAGGCTCACGCTTCAGAACTGTTGGGAGGATGCGTCCATGTGAACCCATTCTTTGGACTGGACGACGCTCCGAACTTCTCGTCCTTCATGACCGCCAGCTTCACGCAGCATGGCGCTGGCAGTGTCTGCGATGGCTTGCACGGCCCTTGTCATTGAAGCTCAGCTGCCGATGCAAAGTCAAAGAGGCTTAGCTCAAGTCAGCTAAAGCGGAACACACTTGAGGTTCGAGCACCTCAGATGTAAATTCGATAAACGTTAATCTGGTAAATCCGTTCAGAGATCCCCGGCAACTTTGGCCAAGCTTGACCGAGAAAGAGAGCAACCCGGCCACCACAACCACACGACGAGGTGGATGTCGGAAAATCTTGCACTCAAAACTACAAGCAGACAGCCATTATGCCGCCCAGCCTTGAGGTTCCGAAAGTTTGGAGTGCTGTCACGAATTCCAGACCGACACCTTGCGAGAGCTCAGTCTAAAGAAGATTCCCGGTATGTGCATGCGATGCGGGGAAGTCACCTTCGAGCGCGTCGTGTAACTGCATGCTGTGCAAGCTTCTGCGCGAATTTGAATACACCACGCCTGTGCAGCTCTATCCCCCTCCCCGCAGCCGTTCCAATCCATCTCCCTGTGTAGTCCTCCGCCTCCTCCTCCTTCTCCTCCAACATTATCCTCTTCAGCATCGTCATCGTCATCACAATGACCAAAATCATCAATATCATCATCCTCCTCGTCACCACCACCACGATTGTCAAGGACACCCTGGCTTTCCCCAACGATCCCACTGTCACCATCAAAATCGGCAGTCATCGTCATCAGGACGTCGTTACAGTCAGCATGCACATGAGCGGCCCGAAAACTCTGAAAAATGAAAACAATGATGACAAATGGCGACAGTGATGAAATTGGTGATGAGGACGACGACGATGACGATGACGATGATGCTGATGCTGGCGCTGTCACTGCTGTTCGTGCTGGTGTTGGTGCTGGTGCTGGTGCTGGTGCTGGTGCTGGTTGTTGGCGCTGGCGCTGGCGCTGGTGACGGCGCTGGCGCTGGTGCTGGTGCTGGTGATGGTGATAGCGATGATGATGATGGTAACGATAATGGTAACGATGATGTTGATAACGACGATGATGATGATGATGGTGGTGATGATGATGGTGGTGATGGTGATGTTGATGGTGATGGGGCTTGCGATGGCGATGGCGATGGTGATGGTGATGATAATGGTGACGATGTTAACTAGAAACCATGATGATGATCATGATGATGATCATGATGATGATGATGATCATGACGGTGGTGACGGTGATGGCGGTGGTGATGGTGATGGTGATTGTGAGTGGTGATGGTGATGGTGTTGGTGCAGGTGCTGGTGCTGGTGCTGGTGCTGGTACTGGTGCTGGATGTTGGCGCTGGCGCTGGCGCTGGTGACGGCGCTGGCGCTGGTGCTGGTGATGGTGATGGTGATAGCGATGATGATGATGATGATGACGATGATGATGATGGTAACGATAATGGTAACGATGATGTTGATAACGACGACGACGACGACGACGAGGATGATGATGATGATGATGATAGTGGTGATGATGATGGTGGTGACGGTGGTGGGGATGGTGATGGCGATGGCGATGGCAATGGTGATGGTGATGATAATAGCGATGATGTTAACGAGGGACCATGATGATGCTGTTGATGATGAGATGATGATGATGATGACGACGACGACGACGACGGTGGTGACGGTGATGGCGGTGGTGATCGTGATGGTGATTGTGAGTGGTGATGGTGATGGTGCTGGGTGCTGCTGCTGGTGCTGGTCCTGGTCCTGGTCCTGGTACTGGTGCTAGTGCTGGTGATGATGATGATGATGATGATGATGATCGTGGCCGACGGTCGCCATGATTGACGATCATGAGACAAAGATTAGCACGACGCCCATGATCGAGAAATGTCGACAGAAAGCCTCAACAACAGCACCAAGCCACTCTTGACAGTGACATCACGGCACAGACAATGTATCACTGGCTGCTGCGAGCGCTGCTTCGTGCCTCTGAGCGACGGCAAACCATATGTCTCTGAGTCATACAGACACACTTCCAGCATATGTCAGTGCACGACCACCCGTGAATTCAAGGGTTGCGAATCGGTGCGCTGAACCCTTCGTGTGCTTGGTGCTTCGAACGACTGGCCAGCGCGACAAAGCCGCTACCGGCCCAGAAGACTACACAAGTTTGGCTGTCCGGGACTAAGGCGGCTTGGCACTTGTCTGCTTGCAACACCTGGGGCCTGCACCTGAACGTCAAGACCTTTGCTGAGTTAATTCGAGGTGAAGGGCGCAAAGCAAAAAGGCTGCCCTGGACCTCCGTTTGGTCGTGATATTCGTGAGCTAGGGCGTCCAAGAGAGAGGTCTCCAGCACGCAGCGGCAAGGAACCACCCGGCCACCCTTTTTGCACAAGCAAGGCTTCTGAGCATGCATGTGTTGGTGAGACCGCTTCGAGGCATGCAGAGCACTCCGACGAAGTAGAGGGAGATCATACAAGGCGATGGCAGGTTTGCATGCTGAAAGCTCGTGCCTATCCTTTTTCAAGGTTCTCCAAGGATCTGGGCCGTGCGCATTGGCTGCACGGAAGGCTGCGAGGAAACTGCGGCCGCAGAGGTCGCAGCTTCTCGAAACCGCTCGGCTTCGTTTTGCCACAGCGGGTCAGCGCAAATCTGGAGTCCCAAGTGAAACATCAAGGAATTCCTCATTGGTTCTCCTTAGACCGAACTACTCTCAGCAAAGCAGCACCGCAAGTCCACATGGCCATTGGCATGTCTGCGTTTGCACGATGCCCAGGTGCAATGATCTTCCTGACAAACTCTCCGTACTCGCATTCACCACCTCGGAGAGCGGGCACGTGGAAGCGACACAGGAAACAATTATGACTCTCCCAAAGGAATTGGGCCAGGTGACTGTTGTCATCGTCGGCAGCTTGAATCATCTCCTCGGCCCTGAGTTACGTGAGTCGTCGGAGGCTGTGACAGGACATGACAGCTGTAAACTTCGCCACGGCAAGCAAAGCTCCGCTCCTAGCAATGTCACTGCTCACGTCTCGTAGCTGCAGCAACCCAACACCCAACACAACAGCGCTGGACGATGGAGAGGGAGTCGATGCTACACAGTTCGGTGCGTGGTGTGGTTTCGATTCCTAGTCGAATTTCGGCGAGAAAGGCTGGAACGAGCGGTTTCAGCTCTTCGCCGGCTTTGGCTGGGAGGACTGGAAGAATTGCCAAGCGCGTGCCAATGGATACTAAGGAGGGCTTGCGCACTTCGATCCTCTGGCGCTCCGAGCTGGAGAAGCAGAGGTCAAAGGCAGAATCGGGAGGTTCAAGCTTCGGAATCATCTCAGCTCCCAGCTGCAACGGGTTCACCTGCAGGTGTCACGCAAAGCTCTCATGTCCTTATGTAGTTGCGGTGTGGCACAGTGAGCACCGTGCTCCATTCTGAAACTTCCCCTCTCGCCGCTCGCCTCGAAACCCAGCTTGCAGAGCACATCTTGCAGCTCGATAGCATCGATCGTCCCGCTCTTGTCCTGCTCCATCGCGACAACAACGACCATCAACGACCGCAACAAATGGACACCCCAAGAAGCATCTCCTTGTCAAAGATTTTGAAGGCATTCACCAGCTCGTCTTCGGTGATCATCGACCTGTCAAACCTCGCAACGGGACTCGGAACACCCCGTCGTGCCGAAGGCCGGAAGGGTCGACCCTCCGCGGTACAAACTTAAACCAGAACCCGATCAAATGCAGACGAGCCCACTTGGCCATCAGCTTCACGAAGCCTCAGCTTGACACAAGCAGACTCCTTGCAACATGTCGCGCGGGGGAGCCGTGGAATCGCAAGCCGCTGCCGCTGCTTGTCAGTCGAAGCACGCTGGAAGTCCAGGATCCCCTTGCCGTGGCTATCGATGTCATTCATGACCTCACGAAGCAGCAAAAGACTGTGCTCTTTGGCGGAAGATAACCGTCTGGACATGACCATGGGCGATAGTGCACAGACGTCTCAATGACTCAATTGCTGCTCAGAGGCTTGCAAGAACCTGGATTGCAACTACAAGCCATCGAACTCATGCTTGGACCAAGTTGTCCAAGTCCACACTCCAACTGAGCTTGGGCGCTGCCGATCCGTAGGCTCTTCTCCAAGCCAGGCTAGGGCAGACCGGATCTGGGAGGCAACCACACAGCACTACGCGGTACATGGCCGAAAGCCCGCACAGACTCCCACATGTACCTACGGCACTGCGAGTCAACATAGCACTCAGCCGGATTTCTCGCCTGCATGGCGTCTATCTTGCCATCCTGCTTGGAAACAGGTTTTCTTCTGCGAGACAAGCGAATCCAAACGTTCTAGGCATGAGCGCTTATACGGGAAGTTGCACGCTTCTGCGCATTGCCGACCCAACACAGCGCCCTTTGCAGAGGCCGGTCCCCGAGCACGTCGTAGAGGCGGAAGGCCCAGCAGAAGTCTCGAAGCTCGGAGTCTCGAAAGCCACACCTTTGACGCACGCACACCTGGTTCCCCCATGCAAGGCTTGGCTAGGAACGCAAATCCTGGCCTGTCAGCTAGGAGGTACGACTCCGGAATTCCATCCACCCGTACCCTCTCTTCCGGTTCTTCACCTGGTGCTCCGCCACAAGACATACGAACTGCAAGACTGTCAGTGTCAGACATAGAGCAACCTCATATCAACATGACAAAGCAGAGGAGCCCAGTGCCATGGCACTGCCGCACGCCGGAAGCTTCGCGCTTGCGGCAACGTGGTGTCTGAGCCGAAATTTCAGCGGTGATCTTCGCAGCAACTTCATCCACGGAATGCGTGGTTAATGCAAGGTCATGCACCAAAAGTCATCAAAGGTCCACACTTCCAAGGAGAGGCTGTCGAGGCCGAAGATGCCGAGCAGCCTGGAGTTTGAAGCTTTCGGGGCCTCCTGCTGGAGATGGACGGATTAGGATGGATTAGGGGTCTCTCTGGAAGGTCGGACGAGCCGGCCTCGATGCGCCTGTGCGCCACCCCACAACTGGGGTGGCAAACCCATGGAACTTGATAGGGCTGATAGGGCCCTGAAGGAGAGGAGTGCTTCTGTAGAAATTGAAGATGCCTTGTTACATGTCAAAGGGCAAAGGGTCTACTTACTCCTCTTCTAGACAGGCAGATTTCTTTTGGCCCCCGATGCTACTGGCTTGCCCGTCATTGCAGGACTTGCGGAGGGCCTTAGCCCAGACATTGCCGACTATCATAAACGGCTGAGATGTTGTGGTCACGGGTAGACCCAACAAACTCCGCCAGCTCAAACCGCGACCAGACAGTCTTCACTGGTGAGCGATTGTCGAAGATCATCGGTGAACAGGCACGTGTGTGTGTGTAAGTCACAGCACGGCCGAAAACGTGGACAAAATCAACCCTGAAGAGTGGAGGCACCTCCACGACGCACGCAGGAATGCTATGCGATTTCATTCCATGAGTTCGCACTGCTCGGAGATCAATTCGTTCGGAGATTGGGCCAATCATCTGAACAGTAGCCGATGGCCTGAAACAGCGGGCAACAAGCTTGGAGTTTCCTATAGCGAAACTGCTGCGCCGAAGCCCGACTGAATCTAATCTTCTCTGCCGGAAATTCCGGGGTCGCTGGTGCTATGTCTTTGCTATGGCAGTTAACCCATGCAGCTTGGATGGCAGGATAAGGCTTGCAAATTGGCTCATTGGGCATGTGCTGGCTGCCCTCACTCACGATGCAGCAGCCTGTATGATGGAGGCCACGAAGATCGCCATGCTGCCAACCACATCGGCCACGTTCGCTCCGCACAATGCCTGTCGCTTGCCTCCAGTTGGGCAAGTTGGTTGATCGATCAGCCATGAACACAAAAACCCTCCCACCTCGCTGAGGGCAATCCACGAAGGTAAACGACAGCATCTGCGCAGTGTAGGCAAAGGAGCCGATCACGTAAAGGACGTCCACCGCACATTCCTCAAGCGGCTTTGGAGCAGCATTTTTGCAAAAGCACACGGATGCGCCTCCAACACCGACCCTTCAAAGGCACGTGGTCAGGGTTTTGTGGCTTAGTTTGTTTGCCCTAGCCCAAGGGGCTCTTTGTATGGCAACGCTACTATCCTTCTTACTTGTCTATGCAGCCTGGCCGTATTAGGCCCAAGACGGTCCAAGGAAGTGGCACCATTGTGGAAAAAATCAGCAGCCTGTGACACTGTCTCGGAGACGCTTTCAAAGTCAGCTTGCGACCGCTGGACCCATGTGCTTATTGCGACCAAAGATGCCTTCCGATCGCCGCAGGAGCGAGCAGCATCATGGATGGAGAGAAAAGCTCGTATGAGCCAAGCCGCAGCGTCCACACTGTTGAAGACACACTGTGCGATCGCAAAGCCTCTTTCCCTGCCTCTCCTTCTGAGTCGGGTAATATTTCGAATCTTATCGATCGTCTTGTCGTCGTCCAGGAGTCGCGTGTCAATTCCGGCAGTCGCTGCTTCGAAAAGGACGTTGGGCAAAGCAGCGTGATGCTTGTCGGGCCGCTTGCTGCTTTTGTCCTGCAACCATCTGCGCACATCCGCTGACTTGTTACGATACAGCTCAGTTTTGTGGCCATCATCGGAGGCGCTTGGAAGGAGCTTGAACTCGTCCAACCGGCCTCGGCAAAGCCAAAGAAAGACATAGCAAGACTGCCGAAGGATCTCGACAAAAAAATATATTTTACTTCGAACATCCCCACCCTACAGATAATGCGTTTGCGAGGCCTACACAAACTATTGTCTAGACCAACGGCAATAAAATACAGGGGAGGGCAGCTTCGTTGCACAGATTGAGGTTTGTCTACTTCTGAACCAAAAGCAAAAGCATCCCTTTTGTAGCCGCCGCAAGCGCGTGTCGGGTTGAACTACCCAATCTGATTA